GCTTGTTTTTGTTGACGATTTTATTTCTGTAAATATTCCCACCCAACACGCCAATCTCGCCTACTGGTGCAGACTGACATGGTCCGCAGTGGCCAATCGGCGCCCCACACCAGACATTTATTGATTTTCTACGCGTTAAAATGGTGTTTTGTACACACGCCTTAACTAGCTCCCCCATTTTTTACTGCTTTCCATCTCTGACGATGGACTCTTGTAGGAGTCCAAAAGCTCAGACTAACAAACAAATCGTTCCGGTGTTCGACCCTCTTCCCTCTTTACCGCTGCAAATGCCTGGAACACGAACTTTTTCTTTCATTCGTATTTATTTTATCTTATTAATAGGCAATGACCGTATGTAGTGGAATAAGAGGTCATTAAATTATATGACGTCATCAAATCCCACGAATATAGTTGTCCTTGAAATGTTCAAATTGTCTACAAAACGAAGCCTAACTAAGGAACCATGTCGTCAATCGGGTATCATGAGTTGCGCAGTGGATAACGCTAAGGGGAACACAAGGAACACCCTGTATAAGTCGGGAAGAAGAAGGCTGTTCGATTTCTGGACCAATTTGTGTATTAATTTGAACTCCTGTACACGAATCCCCATCAGAGATAAAAGCGGCAAAAACCATCAACAGTTATAGTGTGTAGGAGCCAGTGGAGCCTCAGTAAGGCCACTCCGGAGGTGATGGCATAGGGTTCGCATCGGAGGCCCCCTGTCTTAATAAATTTGCGGCCTGTCTTGTTTCTGACGTGGACGATTATCTTTGTAGCTGCGAAGTTACATTCATGACTCGTTTTGTAGAGGGGGAGGTGGCCTATGGGCTCTAATCGATCCGCAAAGCACAATGCAACGGCGAGTTCCGGTCAGCATCCTCTTACCTAATCACAACCCACCAGACAACTGTTTACGGAGCTTCAGATCGAGTCTCAAATAAATACGGGGCGAGTAGATTACTAACTTGATCGGCGAGCGCCCGTTATCAAATATAAACAGCAACGGACTATCGAAAAGGTAAGCAGAGACTATAATCGCCATTTCTAACTTATTAGGCGTCAGCAGCCGGCCATATGAAACACCAAGTTAGAGACCCCTGAGGCTTGATCATGCGTTCTGTTGATAAGACATCCAACCCCCTAGGCCACGGGCTCATTGCCTTGTTGATTGTGAACTACGAACATACGAAGTGGCTACCCCTGGGGTTGGCTGTGACTGAATGGTGATGATAAGCCAGAAATGACCATTGCAGTTTCCCTTGTCTTTGTCAGAAATGTAGTTCTGCCTATACTATGCTAGCCGTTGAGCGGTTGCTGGTTGGCTTGAGAGTGGGTCCCACGGCAAAACACAACAAAAAGATGGAATTCTATACTGACCGGTAAGCGCCCATCTACCATTGTATATATATTGCTATTATATATATATATATATC